TAGTAGAATAAAATAAATAATAAAGACCAGAGCAAAAAAAAAAAAAAAAAAAAAAAAAAACAATAAATAAATAGCATTTTGGGTCCCCCTACATTTCGGGACCTTCTGTGGCTCCCTGGCTGCCCCCACAACCCACATTCCCTCCCCTCTGGGGACTCTGCCTTCCTCCAGGTGCTCCCCATGTGCGGGAGGCTCCCTAGCCACTCCAGCTGTCTCGTGTTAGATCCCATTCACCCTCCCAGAACTGAAGTGCTTACACAGCAGGTGCAGCCCACACCAAAGCCAGTCCATGGGCTGCTGCTCGAAAGCCTGGGGTAGAAGGGGCAGATCATCTCCTGGGGTGCCTGCACCGGTGGGCAAAGACCCTGAGGCCCAGGAGAGTTGGTACGGAGTAGGGCCAGGAGGGTAGAGAGGCTGAGAGGGGACAGCGATGGCCTGTCCTTAGCCCCATATTCCAGGCCGTGGCCTGTGGGGGGAGGGCAGGCCCACCCCAAAGAACTCAGTTCAGTGGGCACGTGGCTCTGTGGTCACGGCCCACAAGCCCCGAGCACATCTGCCCAGTAAGGCAGGGGTTGGCTCATGAACAGCAGAAAAACAAGCCCCGAAGAGCTGAGGGATTGTGCAAGCTGCTCAGGGCATCAAGGCAGAGCCATGACCCTGCAGGGGAAGCCAGGGCCACTGTCACCCCCAAGCTGGGCTCACTTCCTGCATTCATTTGTGAAGCCAGAGGCTACTAATCCTGGCCTTGCCAGGCCAGGCACCAAGCCACACAAGGACAGAGCCCTGATTACCCAACCTCCGTTTCAGATCAGCCTCTCTGTTTGGCGGCAGTGTTTCTGCTGCTCGGCCGGACTGCAGTGGCGCTATCATGGCCCTCTGTAACTGCAACCTCCTGGGCAAGTGACCCTGTCCCTCAACTTCTCACGTAGTTGGGACTACAGGCACACACCACCACGCCAGTTAGTTTGTTTTTTAGAGATGGTTGGTCTCAAACGCCTGCCTCAAGTGACCCTCCCTCCTCGGCCTCCCAAGTGCTGGGATTATGAGCACCAGCTGCTGTGCCCAGCCTGTTAGCCATTTTTTGGGGGTGCTCAGGAGCCTGGACACTGTTCGAGGCCCATAGGAGGGGGCCCCCGGCAGCTGTGATGCCCAGACTCCCCAGCTCATGCTCATCCTGCACCAGAGACCCTTCCCCAACACCGCGTGGCCCACGCTTCAGCCCCACACCTGCTGTCCGTGATGGGAACCTGCACAGGCGACCCTCTGACAAACTGCTCATGGGATACTTGAGAGATGTGTAAAAAGGCTTTATTTGCAGGGGAACAGGAGTTTAATCAAAGAGGCCAAATCCCATGTCATCATCTGACTCTTCAGATTCCTCCTTCTTTTCATCTTTCTTCTCCTCTGCTGTGGAAAAGAGAGCATGTTGCCAGGCCAGCCCCCCCAGTAGTGAAGACCCCCGACATCAGTCTGAGCCTCAGCCCTCTGCCCACTCACCACGCCCCCACTTACCGGCAGCGGGGGCGGAACCAGCAGCAGGAGCTGCAGAGCCTGGGGCAGCAGAGATGGTCACAGCCCCACCGGCAGGTACACTGGCAAGCTTGCCAATACCTACAGAAAGCAGAGAGAAGCTGAGATCAGAGCAGCTGCCCAGCCTGGAAGGCTGTTCCACACAGAAGCTAGATGACACCAGGCATGGCAGTGTGCCCAACGTACCTGGGCCCCACCATACGGTTCCAGTGCCTCCCTCCCTCCCCAGCCACTCCTCAACATTTACTGTCAGGGACTTCTCTTCCCCACCTTTCCTATCCAGGGACTAACCTTCCAGAAATCAGGTGACACTGCCCACCTCCCCACTTTCGCCACCTCCACCCTCCGAGGTCCACCGGACAAACATGTTTAGAGGCAGGTAAGCAATGAGTGTGCTGCCCCAGCGTCCAGATCTCTGGCCACAGCGATGTGCTCATGGCTTGGCCCGTTTGCTGAGCTGGCCCTGTCCTGGTCATGTGCACGGAGGACAGCAACAGCTGTCCCACCAGCTCAACTTCCAAACAAGTTCCACCAGCTCAGCTGATGTCAACAGAAAACCATCTGCCCAAGAGACAAGAAGCCTGTGGTCACCCCTGGCACTTAGTCCCCACCCACAACCCCCTTCACAGAAAGCACATGATAGAACTGTTTACGCGAACCCAGTTCTCCAGACACCAAGCTTCGGAGGAATCCTAGGAAATGGCCTCAGTGTGCCCCTGCTGCCTGCTTCTGGCGTGTCTAGAAGCGCCCACGGCGTGAGCCCACTGGAGCCCTGCTCACTCCTCGGGGGAGGCTTCTCGGGTGCTCTGGTCCACAAGCGAAACCTGGCAGGTCACAGGCTGACCGGCAGGGATTAGGATGGACCCTGAAAACAAACCAACGTCTCCTCCAGAGAAACTCACCCTGGGCAATCACGTCCTCAATGTTCTTTCCGTTCAGCTCGCTGATAACCTGGAGAAGACAATCGCACAGCTGCTACCGGAGATGTGCAGCTGCAGCCCCAGCCTTACCGATCCCTTCTAGAGTCACAGCAGGACTGGGTACACCACATGGGAATACGCCCTTGAGTTTCTACACCTGCGCTGCCCTAAGGGAGCCACCAGCCTCACTGGTTAAGTGGTACGAGAAATGGAATCCAGCATTCTCAGACTCAACGCTGAGAGAACACACACCATCTCACCCTCTGCTAACTATTCATACCTGTCTTAAACATGGGCAAAATAAGGCGGCTCTGAAATTGGCTTTGACTTCAGGCTGGAGTGCACCGATGGGATCTCGGGCTCAAGTGATTCTTCCACCTTAGCCCGGGACTACAGGCATGAGCCACCACACCTGGCTCTGTCGGCCTGCAGCCGCGTGATCACTACTCACCGCAGCCTGGACCTCAAAGGCTCAAATCATCCTCCCGAACAGCGGGGACTACAGATGCCCACCACTGACTAATTTTCTTTTTAGCTTTTCGCGGAAGCCCGGTCTTGAGGTGTTTTCGAGGTTAGTGTGGAACGCCCAAGCTCCAATAATCCACCCGAAGCGCTGGGGGAGCCAGCACCAGGCCTGCCTGTTTTTCAAGCAATCTCATGCATGCCATCTGTATTGAACCTCCAACGCTCCTTCGTCTCGACCTTGCCTCATACCCACCTTGCTTTCTTCATTTGTCGTTTTGAGACAGTCTTGCCCCATCACCCAGGCTGGAGTCTCCTGCCTCAGCCTACCAAGTAGCTGGGATTACAGGCGCCCACCACCACACCCGGCTAACGTTTGTATTTTTAGCAGACACGGGGGTTTCGCCATGTTGGCCACGATGGTCTCGAACCCCTCCTGACCTCAGGTGATCCGCCCGCGTCCGGCCCCCACCCTGCTTGCTTCTCTACCCAAGAAATCACCAACTGGACTGGCACAAGCCGCGCCCCGGACCCTCCGGTGAGACCGGCCACGGGCCGCGCGGCGGCCGCGGGGCAGGGGCGGCAGGTACCTTGTTGAGCCGGTCGTCGTCCGCCTCGATGCCGACGCTGTCCAGGATCTTCTTGATGTCCTTGGCGCTCGGGGAAGGGTTGCCCCCGAGGGCGGCCAGCAGGTAGGAGGCGACGTAGCGCATCCTGAGACGGGCGGAGAGCGCGCGACGGCGGAGTTACCCCGGCGGCCTCCTGCCCACCCCGGGGCCCCCGGGCGAGGCCGCGCGTGGCTCGGCCCCTAGGCCTCTGCCCCAGAAAGACCCCGCCCCGCGGCCCGCCGCCCACCCCGCATCCCCACGGCCCCGCATCCCCAGCCCCAGCCCGCACCCCGGGCCCGGCCACCGCACTCACGCGGCGGCGGCGGAGAGGCCTCACGCGTGCGACCTCGGCGGCGACAGGGAGGAAAAGGAAGACGCCGACGCAAGGGGCGGGGGTAAACCGCTACCCAGAAGCCTCTGGGACCCACGCGCGGCGACGCATGAGGCGCCTCAGAGTGACGTCACGAGGCGCTCAGCCAATGACGACGGCGGAGAAACCATTGACCCCCCTCCCACCTCCTCCCCATCTCAGGCAGCTTCTGCGGCAAAGGCGAAGGGCAGTAGTACCGGAACTGGCTGCTCTTACAGCGTGGGGCGAATGTCCCCCAAAACTCGTGGCGCGATGGACCAAGCAAGCCCAAGGGGACATCTGTCTTCAATACCGGGGGCTCCCATCATGCCACACGACGCCTACAGCTCCCAACATGCTGCGCGGCCGCCACGCCCGGGACGTATCCTTTGCCCGCGAACCACAAGTCCCATGGTACACTGCTGCCGGAAGTGGCCTGTGCCACCGGCCTACGCGGAACTGCACGTGGGCCCGGGCCGAGGGTGCTGGCCGTAAGCTCGCCCTGAGCCTTTGGCGATTCCCCCGCCGCGGCGACCCGTTGTCCCATGTCCCGCCGGGCTCAGTGAGGTGAGCCAGCCGCCTCGGACTTAGCGACTGCGGCCCTGGGAGGCCGCCCCCGCCATGCGGGGCCAGGGCGTACTGCCAGAGGACGAGCGCGAGCCTTGGAGACCAGGAGAATGTAGGGAGGCAGCGTCGCCCACGCACCCTGGGAGGGGTGAGGTCCGAGTGGGCAGCCCCTGCGCCGGCTGCTTCGGCCCAGAACTGACCTCGGTGTCCACGTGGACATCAGCATATCGGGGACCCTGCCGCACTCTGGGGTCCTGGGAGGGAACAGGGCTGGCCCTGCCTCCTAAGAACAGGAGTTCGTGTGCGAGGACACAGGAAGCGAATGAAGGAAGCGATCCGAGGGACAGGGACAGAGGGGGCATTGGGCTGGGCAGCCTGAGAAAGCTTCCACGAGGCAGTGTCCTTGAGCTAAAAGATGAAAAGGAGCCGACCCTGCCAATATCTGGGGCCAGCACCAGAGGGGTCAGATGCAGATACCTGAGGTGTCACGCAGGCAGCGCCAGCTCGCGTGGGGCTCAAACAACAGTGGGGTATACATCAAGCACTGGAACTCGAACTTCACAGTTGCCTTCAGTGGCCTCATTACCCCTTCGTAGATGAGGAAGTTGGGTACAGAAACGTTTTCTTGCTCGGGGTCACACATCTGGGGTAAAGGCGGGAAACCACCTTGGGAACAATGAGACTTTTTAAATTTTTTAATTTTTGAGACTGGGCCCCATTCTGTCGCCCAGGCTAGAGTGCAGTGGCTCCATCACAGCTCACTGCAGCCTCAGCTTCCTGGGCTCAGGTGGTCCTCCCTCCTCAGCCACCACACCCGGCCAACATTTTTTGGTGTTTTTGGTAGAGACGGGATTGCCCAACATAGGCTCAAGTGATCCTCCCACCTGGGCCTCCTAAAGTGCCGGGATTACAGGTGTGAGCCACCATGCCTGGCCAGCATGGGACTTTTGTAATCACAAAGGGAAGCTATTCAGTGTCTTGAGCCAGTCCCTTCACATTGCTCTGCCATCGCCCATACCAACTCTTTTTTTTCTTCGAGGAGTCTCACTATTGTCCAAGTTGGAGGGCAGTGGCGTGATCTTTGCTCATTGCAATCTCCACCTCCCGGGTTCAAGCAATTCGCCTGCCTCAGCCTCCCTAGTAGCTGGAACTACAGGCATGCCTCACCACACCTACCTGATTTTTGTATTTTTAGTAGAGATGGGGTTTCACCATGTTGTCTAGTCTGGTCTTAAACTCCTGACCTCAGGTGATCCGCCCGCCTTAGCCTCCCAAAGTGCTGGAAAAACAGGCACAAGCCACCGTGCCTGGCCCCATCTCACTTTTTTTATTATCCCAAACAAACTCCGTACCCATTAAATTCCTATTCCCTGCGCCCCCAGCCCTTGATAACCACCATTCTACTTTCTGTTCCCGTGATTCTGACAACAGTAATACCCCTCGAGTAAAAGTGAAATCATACGGTATTTTGCTTTTTGTCTGGTCTCTTTCATTCAGCTTATTTTCTTTCTTTCTTTTTTTTTGGGACGGAGTTTCGCTCTTGTTACCCAGGCTGGAGTGCAATGGCACGATCTCGGCTCACCGCAACCTCTGCCTCCCGGGTTCAGGCAATTCTCCTGCCTCAGCCTCCTGAGTAGCTGGGATTACAGGCACGAGCCACCATGACCAGCTAATTTTTTGTATTTTTAGTAGAGACGGGGTTTCACCATGTTGACCAGGATGGTCTCGATCTCTTGACCTCGTGATCCACCCTACTCAGCCTCCCAAAGTGCTGGGATTACAGGCTTGAGCCACCACGCCCGGCCATTCAGCTTATTTTCAAATTTTAAGTATCTACCTGAAAGGAAGTCCCTAAATCTAATGTAAGTGGAGAAATGTTTACATGGGCCAGGCTTGAGGATTACAAACTGGGAGCACAGATTCAGGTTGCCCAGAATTTACACTTGGATGAGCAGCAGTTTCAAGTCAATTTTTATTTTTTATAATTTTAATTTTTTTTTTTTTTTTTTGACACAGGATCTTGCCATGTCATCCAGGCTGCTCTCCAACTCCTGACCTCAGGTGATCCACCCACCTTGGCCTCCCACAGTGCTGGGATTACAGCGTGTGCCACCGTGCCTGGCCTGTAATTTAATCTTTTGTAGAGATGGAACCTTGCTGTGTTTCTCAGGCTGGTCTCAAACTTCTGGCCTCAAGCTGTCCTCCTGCCTTGGTGTCTCAAAGTGGTAGGATTACTGGTGTGAGCCACTGTGACCTACAAGTGGATTTTTTTTTTTTTTTTTTTTTTTTTTTGCAGACGGGAGTCTCGCTCTGTCACCCAGGCTGGAGTACAGTGGCATGATCTGCGGTCTCAGCTCACTGCAGCTTCCACCTCCCAGGTTCAAGTGATTCTTCTGCCTCAGCCTCCCCTGCAACTCAGGTACCTGGGATTACAGACGTCCACCACCACACCTGGCTAATTTTTTTTTTTTTTGAGATGGAGTTTCACTTTTTGTTCAGGCTGGAGTGCGATGGCACAATCTCGGCTCACCACAACCTCCACCTACCTGGTTCAAGCGATTCTCCTGCCTCAGCCTCACAAGTAGCTGGGATTATTGGAGTGCACCACCGCACCCAGCTATTTTTGTATTTTTAGTAGAGACAGGATTTCTCCACATTGGTCAGTCTGGTCTGGAACTCCCAACCTTGGGTGATCTGACACCTCAGCCTCCAAAGTGCTGGGATTACAGGCGTGAGCCACTGTGCCTGGCTTAATTTTTGTATTTTTAGTAGAGACAGGGTTTCATCATATTGGCCAGACTGGTCTCAAACTCCTGACTTCGTGATCCGCCTGCCTCAGCCTCCAAAGTGCTGGGATTACAGGCGTGAGCCACTGTGCCTCGGCTTTTATTACTTTTATTATTATTATTTTTTGAGATGGAGTCTCGCTCTGTCACCCAGGCCGGAGCAATGGTGCAGTCTTGGCTTACTGCAAACTCTGCCTCCCAGATTCAAACTCTCCCTCAGCCTGGAGGCAGGGATCTCCCTAGCTGGGACTACAGGCGCCTGTTACCGAGCCTGGCTAATTTTTGTATTTTTTTTTTTTTTTTCTTTTTTTTTTTTAGACGGAGTTTCACTCATGTTCCCCAGGCTGGAGTGCAATGGCGCGATCTCGGCTCACCGCAACCTCTGCCTCCCGGGTTCAGGCAATTCTCCTGCCTCAGCCTTCTGAGTAGCTGGGATTATAGGTACGCACCACCACACCCAGCTAATTTTTGTATTTTTAGTAGAGACGGGGTTTCACCATGTTGGACAGGCTGGTCTCTCTTGACCTCAGATGATCCACCCGCCTCGGCCTCCCAAAGTGCTGGGATTACAGGCTTGAGCCACCGCGCCAGGCCTAATTTTTGTATTTTTAGTAGAGACGGGGTTTCACCATGTTGGACAGGCTGGTCTCAAACTCCTGACCTTGTGATCCACCTGCCTCAGCCTCCCAAAGTGCTGGGATTACAGGCGTGAGCTACCGCGCCTGGCCGCCTTTTACTTTATATATTTTTGAGACAGAGTTTTGTTCTTTTCACCAAGGCTGGAGTGTAATGGCACAATCTCGGCCCACTGCAACTTCTGCCTCCCAGGTTCAAGCGATTCTCCTGCCTCAGCCTCCTGAGTAGCTGAAATTACAGGTGTGAGCCACCATCCCCGGCTAATTTTTGTGTTTTTAGTAGAGACGGGGATTTGAGATGGGGTTTCACCGTGTTGGCCAGGCTGGTCTCAAACTCCTGGTGTCAAGTGATCCATCCACCTCAGCCTCCCAAAGTGCTGGGATTACAGGTGTGAGCCACCGTGCCCACCCTATTTTTAAATTTGTCTTGTTAGAGGGAGTCTTGCTCTGTTACCCAGGCTGGAGTACAGTGGTGTGATCTCAGTTCACCACAGCCTCCGCCTCCCAGGCTCTAGTGATTGTCCGGCCTCAGCCTCTGAATAGCTGGGACTACAGGTGTGTGCCGCCATACCTGGCTGATTTTTCTCTTTAGTAGAGATGGGGTTTCACCATGTTGGGCAGGCTTGTCTTGAACTCCTGACCTCAAGTGATCCGCCCACCTCGGCCTCACAAAATGCTGGGATTACAGGCGTGAGCCACCGCGCCCGGCCTGTGGTTGGTTTTTAAAAGGATTCCTCCGGCACCTACGTGAAAGGGGCTGGTGGGCATGGAAGCAGGGAGGCCTGGGAGAGACCTGCGCATCCCAGAGGGGGTGGTGGTACCTGGAAGTGGACGGCAGAGGCTGTGCGAACTGAGTCAAGACGCAGGCCTCGCTGGTGCTGTCTGCGTCCTCCTCGGAGCGCGTGCGAGGGAGCCGGTGAATGAAGCACACCCGGGGGATGCCGTGTTGGGGAGGGCGGACGGAGCAGGTTTCGGGTTCTTGGCTTTGACACACGCCAGCTATGGAGCCTCCTGCCCTGCGCGGGCGCCAAGAGGATCACTGCCAGGGCTTCGGGCCCAGGATGACGGCTCGAAAGGAAGGGTCTCTGCGGGCCCGGAGG